GCAATAACCAACACATCCCAACCATGATGGGATGTAGAACCTAACTAAACAAAATTTATGAGATATATAAATAATAAAAAAATTAAAACACGAAGTACCTAAGGCTTTAAATTAAACTCCACGACGCTGATACAACCTGACCAAACCAAAAGTAGCGAGATTAGCAAATCAAAAACTCGTAACAACACAAAAAATACACACGATGTTACCAACATCAACAATGATAATATAAACTGCTCAAAAAGATCATTAGATTAAAAGGCAATAACGTAACACAAATACCCATGATATTTATAAGAAAATGTATAGACAACCTAGAATATCTAGGGTTTCTACGCAACCTTGTTTAGAAAACGAAACCTCAAATACCCATGATATTTATAAGAAAATATATAGACAACCTAGGGTTTTTTTTAAAGCTATTAAGTTAATAATAGAAAAAAATTAACTGAAACGTATTGGGCTTATGAATAGTTTTTGAAAAGAAGTAGAAGCCCAATAGAATATAACATAAATCGAATGAACAAAACGATAACCGAAACCGTAGTAAATTATAACCGACGATGGCATAATATGTAATTTTTTTTTGAAGAGGGTACACTTGTAATCAACCATCCTCAAATTCATTTTGAGGCCGTCACGTAGGATTTTGCACTTCACATATAGAAGAACTAGTGTATTATCCGCGCCCTGCGCGAGATTTTATTTTTAGATAATAATCTTTAAAAAAAATAAAGGATAGTGTTCACCAAAAAATTATCTTATTAAAACTATATGTGAAGGAAACAATCATATTCAAAACCCAATATTAATAGAAGATAGAAAACCAAAGTAAAAAATCTTATARAAACTACATGTCAAAGAAACTAAGAATATTCCAAACCATGACATTTTAAKATACGGCGAGRCAAKCGCRRGATAGTATTCAAGTGACATATCAATTCAATTATTCAAATGACAGAAGTYCACTGCTTAACATATTGCTAATCGAGTTTAAAACTATATATTTGTTAGGGTAATGAATTATAATAATCTATATATCAG